GTGTTTAGTAACTAACTGAAAAGGAAGAAAACTCTCCTTCAACACCTTCTGGCTTCTGCCACCAGCCTTTCCCATGGGGGACTGTCCCCTGTTACCACCACAAGGTCCCTGAACATAAAGCTGAGAAGACACACAACTTCAGATAAGTTACTCGAACTGTTTCCATGTCTCCGCATCAGGGTTACGGGGGAAGTGATTTCCCTGTTCTGAGTTGACGTAAGCAGGTGTTTAGGCACATGGAAGGTGTCAATAAATATTGGGTTTTTTTTTTCTTTCACTTACATATTACAGAAAGGAACCTCTTTAAATAGTGAGTTGGGATTCTGGAAGAGATTTGGAAAGGGCTGACCTGATATGCAGCCGGGGCAACCAGAAAACAGGCAAAGGCGTTCAGTCTGGTGTCTTTCCTTTCTGAAGACTTTTATCAATGTCCAGGCAACCCAAGTCAGGAGGAAGAGACCCTGACTCTTCTGGGGTTGAAATGCACAACGGGAGAGAGACAACAACTCAGTCTTCACAGTTGTGGCATTACCTCCAGTTTCCATGACATCACCCACAGAGGGCACCTTGCCCACTGTGGTAGGAGAAGCTCCCCTCAGGAACTCTAGCAGACCGCAGACCACAGACCATGCCTGGAGGGCAAGAAGGAATCAGGACCCAACCTTGGTCTGAACAGGCTCCTGGAAGAGCAGGGAGCTTCTGAGTCACAGGACACAGGTTAGAGGAAGTGGCTCTGTGAGGATGGATCGAGGAGCCATTGTCTCCAAATCTCTGACAGGCTAAGGGAGTCAAGAGATCCCAGAGAACAGTGTAAGGCCCAGACAGACGAACCAACCCCAGACCCTCAGCTCTGAGGAGTTGGAGTTTGGCTTAGGTCAAGACATCCTGAGATAAGCTGTCATGGGAGAATTTCTTGTCCCTATAGGGCATTTTCTATCTGCCTTTTGTCAGGAAAAGCAATACCAGGAAAAGGAATGTAGGGACAGAGCTGGTGGGACACATCCTACTTCCCCTTTCAGGCAAAGGAAGTTTTTCTTTAAGGGTTAGAAAACACAGTGTTCCCGGTGCTCTGTCAAATTAACCATTCCAATAACTCCATTTTCTGTAAAACTAAAATGAAGGCCCTGGGTGTGGCTCAGTGGGCAGGGCAGTTGTCTAGCAACCTGAAGCCCTATCCCCAGGCACCACATCAAAGAGATGTGGTCCTGTATGCCTGTGATCCCAGCACTTGGGGGTGGAGACAGGAGGAGCTGGAGTTTAAGCTGATTAGCCAACAGACCCCAATTTGAAGTCCAGCCTGGGCTACAGGAGACAATGTCTTGATCAAAATATAAGGGGAGGGCAGAGGGATGATTTTAAAACAAAAAACATTTTATTATTTTGGTTTTTGTTTGTTTGTTGTCCTTTGGGTGTGTTATTGTTCTGATTTTTTGGTTTTTGCTTTTGTAGCCCAGGTTGGCCCACTCACTGTGGCTCAGGGTGGCTCTGAACTCACAGCAATCCTCCTACTTGAGTCTCCAGAGTGTTGGGAGCACTAGCTTGTGCCATCACACCTGGCATGCGAATGTTTTTATTATTATTTTATTTTAAAAGCACTATTACTTTGGCTGCACTCGTAACATACATAGCACTCATTAAGGCCGTTAAAAAGGTGTCTGGTTTCCTGGAACTGGAGTGACAGATAGTTGGGAGCCACACTGTGGGTGCTGGGGACCAAACCCAGGTCCTCAAGAGCCTAAGAGCCAATGCTCTTAACCCCTGAGCCATCTCTCTAGCCTCAAGGTTTCCTTTTGTTTTTTATTTGAAGAAGAAAATGCTTCCTTCCCTCGGCACCCGGAAGCCACTCCCCTAAATTTTCTTCAGGCCAGACTCCTGCTCAGTGACACGACATATGACAAGACAGCATCCTTGAAGTGGGAGCCAGGCTAGGCAGCAGGGTCGCCAGGTCTGCTGTTCCACCAGCATCTGGTTTGTTCTCGAACCATCCAGCACTTTCCACTCAGATTTCTTCACACACTGTCCTCTAGAACACTCAGCAGTCCAGCTGATCTTAATTCATTAACCTCCAGGTCTTACCTTAAATGTTACCTCTTCCAGGCTGCCTTCTCTGACTACCTACCTAAGGTCGTCATGCTTTTTCTTTCTTTCAAACACTGTGTGCCTCCTTGGCCGTGGCATTGCTTGAGAACCCTCCAGAGCATGAGTATCAGAGGACAAAGGCGTTTCTGTCTTCTTTGCTGAACGGGATAAAATCTTGGAATCTGGAGGGAACACTGGATCCACTTGGTTTGAAGGCCAGTGCGGGTCTGGCAGCCTGTCTTACAGATATGCATGCCTAGTCCTCCCTCCCTGGGGTTCATGGCAAGTCATCAAGGCCACACCTAATCACAGGCTTCACCATTGTACCCCGCCTCGGAGGACGTGTAGGCATTCCTACCCTTCCTTCCTTTTGGCTATCAGACTGCTGAAGCAATGGGTTCCACAAAATTGAAAGTCCCCAAGAAGCCTTATGCTAGGAGAAAGAAAAGACTTGGGGGTGTATCTTTCTGGGTACAACATCCTTTAACAGCTACTTATTTCCACAAAGAATAGCAGCCTACCCAACTAGTTATGGGGCCCAGCTAGAGGCCCACCAATAGAAGAACAGAAGATAGGCGCAATGTCGAGATTCGGCCATAAAGAAGGACATTGTATCATCTGCAGGAAAGTTGACAGAGCTGGAAATTATCATGTTAAATGAAAATGACAGGGACACAAAGATAAATATGACATTTTCTCTTGTATATGGAATCTATTTATCCTTCTATCTATCAATCAGCATTTAGCTATAACTATCGATGAAACAGGAAGGGGACTATGTGAGACCAAATAAAGAACCAGGAGAGGAAGGGAGACAAGAACAGCTACTGGGAGGTGAATACACACAGAATATGTGACATCTATAAGAATGTCATCGTGAGAGATGGCGAAAGGGCTCAGTGGGTGAAGGTACTTGCCATCAAATCCGATGCCCTGAGTTCAATCCCCAACACTCACATGGTGGAAGGAGAGTACTGACTCCCACACATTGTCCTCAGATCTACACACACACACACACACACACACACACACACACACACACACACTGTAGCTTGGGAAAGTCTCCACATTCCCACAAAAATAAATAAGGCAATAAATAAATGTGTTATTATGAAATCCAACATTCTGTACAATGAATAAATGGTAGTGGAAAAATTAAAAGATATTCTCAATGCAAGAAGTCAAAAGACATTGCTTATGTGGGTATCTGGGCTGAAGGTTTGGAGGTTTTGTTTGTTTGTTTGTTTGGCTGGTTTGGTTTGGTTTTAATATCCAGTACTTGGGCCATCACAAGCGCCCCCCTGTTCCAACCAGATGCTCACAACACGATGAGTTGTAGCCAATCAGGCTGCCCCTCCCTGGCTTTCCACACCACTTCCTTTCCTCTGGCTATAAATACAGCCTGCCCTTGAGCGGGTGGGGCATCCTGAACCACTTCTGGTCTGGAGTGTTGCCTGACTCAAATCACCACCACAGGGAGGGCCTGTGGCAAGCTGCTACCCGAGGCGGCTCACTTCTCCCTGCACTGTTGCCCCTTGCAGATCAGAACTGGCTCCTCGGGGTCACACAGCACTTAGGCTCTGAGTTGAACCTTGGAGGCCAAAGACCTTCCAGAGAGGGCTGTTCAGGGAATGGAGGGAGACACCTGAAGGATGCTGGAAGGAGGAGAAAGAATTCCTTATATGGGCTGGCAATGGCAGGGCACCCTTCCCTGGATTGTTTGGGTTGTGCCCCAGATGGCTGGCACACAGGAGTTAGGGAGGGCGGGGTTAATTAGACATGAATAAACTCTTTGCCCAAAGGAGGATTTTTTTTTCCCTTTCCCAAAAAGGGGGATGTTTTCTTGTGGTTTTGATTTTAAAAAGAAATATATCCAGGGGCTGAAGAGATGGCTTATCCATCTATACAAGCATGCCAAGTGTACAGATCTACGCTTGCTCCCCAGAACCCATGTAAATAAAACAAAATCTCAGGCACAGGGTGTTGGGAGCCGACTCCTAGCAGAAAGCGGCTATCATCTTTGCAGCCATCTCGGGCCATATACCCTGACAAGAGACTTGTTTTCAACAGCCCGCAACAGCTGAGCACACTCTGATAAACCTCTTGCTTTTCTCACATATCTTGTTGTGCTGTTTAGTGCCCCCAGCTGCAAGGTGCACGTGGTAAAGTGTCTTCAGCTGTGTTCCCCTGCTTATGTTTATATATACCCAGGATTTCCTTTCAATAAAGGGGACTTGACCAGACTCTGTCTTGTCTCCATTCTTTGCGTCTCTCACCCTCTATCCCCACTCTCTCTCTTGCTAGACCTTGGCCCGCAGACTGGAGCAGCAGCTTGGGCAGGGACATAGTGGCCTCCAAACGTGGGGCAGAACGGGTGGTTACACAAGGTGTGTACCTGCCACCCCAGCACTGGGGAGGCAGGAACTTTCTAGATGGCTGTGTATTCAATCAGTGAGCTCCAGGTTCAATGAGAGTCCCTGGCCTCAAAAAATTGGAGTTGGAAAAGCAAACCTCTGACCTCCACATGCATACACATACATGCACATGTGTGCCTGTACATGTGTGTATATATACACACACAAACATGTACACAAACATGAGAAAGTTGGGACAAGCCTTCTGATGGCTGTAAATAGGAGTCATAATCCACCCCATTTTTAACCCTTCCCTGGCAGAGTTCATTTGAGGAATGACCCATACAAGTACCCTTACTTTAGACATGATTACGCTAGGAACTACCCTACCCCTGGTCTGACAAAAGGCTTATAGGGGATCCTGAAGCACTAGAAGATTCCTCTGGCACAGCTGTGTCCACTGCTCCCCAAACCCCTCCTGGGTTGTCCAGACTCCACCTGCCCCGCTTCTCTCTCTCCAGCCCATTGCCCCTCTCTGTTTCAGGATCCTCACTCCCAGTCACTGACCTTTTTTAGCTTGGTCTCAGCCCCTGTTCCCAGGGCCCGTCCCTAGGAGCTGCCTCAGTAGACAGAGTCTGGATCCTCACATTTATGGTTGGCAGCGCAAGCATCAGGGTCTATAAGCTACAACACAGGAGGACGCAATGAACGCTCTCCACTAAGCATCCTGCTCAGCCCCCAGCAGCCTTCACGGTGGCAGAAAGTCCAGCAAAAGCAGAGGCTGGCACAGCACTGCAACAGGTCCCCGGGCAGACACCCAGCACATTCCAGTGGGGAGGGCAGTAGAAGAGCAGCAAGCTATCCAGGTCACAGCCTTATCCACTACAGAAGCCTTCGCTAATCCCTTGGCCCTGACTAACCCCCGTGGGACCCGCATTGGAACCTTCTAAATGATCTGAGAGGTTAAATGTCTTGACTATTTGAGGACCCAGGTGCCTCAGTGTTGTTCCAGCCAGGAGCATGGACACAGAGCCTGTGGCTGGGGTAGCCCAGGATGGTGGAGGAGAAGTGGGTGCAGCTGAAGCCACTGGAGAGATGAAGAGTCTCGGGGTGCTAGGTTGGAGCCTGGGAGCAGGGGCCGAGAAGCATGGGTTTGATCGCTGTGAGGTTCTTTTCTGAATTACAAGGGAAAGCTTCAGTGAGTCTTTGGCTGGGGGGTCAGAGTCACAAGCTTTGGACCCTAGGGGAACCCGGAGTTCAATCTTGGACACTCGGCACGAGCAAGTGCATCACCAAAGACACCACCCAATGGGCTGGCAGATAAGCTTAGAGCAACAGAGGGACAGATAGACAACCCTTGCCCAGCTAGAACTGCAACAAAGGAAGGGGGGGGGGGGGGCCCCGGGGGAAGGAGGAAGAAGGAAGGAAAGAATGAACAAGCAGAAATACTCGGTGAGCAAGTAGTCGCGGGTCTCCTAAAATTTCATTTTGAAAAATTTGCAATCTGCTGAGAGTTATGAGATTTATCCATAAATCCTTAATTCTTAATACTTTGATGTTCTCTGTGTCTCTGTCTCTCTCTCTCTCTCTCTCTCTGATTTGAGGGAAAACTGAAGAAACTTACCCTTAAATCATTCCCAGTTTCTCCCCTAATGAGAAGATAGTGTTTTACACAAACAAGCAAACTTATAACTTACTTATTTTTTCTTATTTTATATACATTGGTGTTCTGCCTGCTTATATGGGTATGTGAGGGTGTTCGATCCCCTGGAAATGGGGAATTGGAACTACAGACATTTGGGCTCCCATGGGGATGCTGAGAATTGAACCCCGGGTCCTTCAGGAAGAGCATCCAGTGCTCTTAACCACTGAGCCATCTCTCTAACCCTGACCATGAAGAAATTTAACACTAGAGAAGATACCCAGAGGCCTGCCCACCGCATGGCCCAGCCACAGTGGGAGCCACTGTAATGGGTAAGAATGTGGTGGAGAGATGGGAGAGAGAAAGAGAGAAAGAGAGAGGGGGGAGAGGCAGAACAGTTTGAATTCTATGAAGAAAGGTGGAACTGGAGATGCGAAGGCAGAGAGGAACAGACTGGTGTGAGCGGCCAGCTCCACCCCCTGAGGCCATGGTGAGGTCCCAGCTTGTGCTGCCACTGAGGGCCAGGTCTGGGTCCATGACCATGTAGCAATAGGAATCTGTGTCAATGTCCGTGGCTCATATTACTACCAAAGGACAAGTGGATGTCCCTGATCTGGGCTGTCGCCTGGGACCATGTTGATGTCCAAGGGTTGTGTAGGGCTGGTCCTGCCCCTCACTGGCTGCAGCACTCTGGAGAGCAGACCCTGCACCTTGCTTGGGTAGCACAGTAGAACTGGCCCTGATGTTGTGGGCAAAGGTGAACCAGCCAAGGTTATGAGAGGAGAAGGGCTAGCCCAGCTCTTTGCTGGCTGTGGAATTGGGTGAGTTATCTGGGGGCAGTTCTGGAGAGCTTACATTGATGGTGTAGGTACGGGAGAGCTGGTGGTCCGACCAACTCAGCTACCACCCAGGTCCACATCCAGGGCTCTGAGTTGGCCTGCCCTAACATCTACACCATCGATGAACTGCTGGAGTGTGTGAAGAGGCTGGTCCTACAGAACCAAAGCTGCAGGATCTCCACGACACAGGGCGACAACAGACTATCTGAGAGGAGTCCCAGTGAGGATCGAGTATTGATGGGGCAGCAGAAGCCAGAGGCCTCGAACCAGACCAGTGGCTCATTGCAATAAATGTTTACAGGTAAAGATGTGTGGACAAGGGCTGAAGAGATGCTTCAGTGGTTAAGAGTACTGACTGCTCTTCCAGAGGTCCTGAGTTCAATTCCCAGCAACCACATAGTGGCTCACAACCATCTGTAATGGGATCTGATACCCCCTTCTAGTGTGTCTGAAGACAGCTACAGTGTACTCGTATACATACAATAAATTTAATAATAATAATAATAATAATAATAATAATACAAATAATGATAAAAATAATATAAATATAAAAATAAAAAAATAATAAAAATACAATAAATTTAATAATAATAAAAAAGAAAGATGTGTGGACAAAAGAGTATACTATGGAACAAACTGCAGTTTCCACAACAAGATGGTTTTTTGTTTGTTTATTTTTCTTTTGGTTTTATTTATTTATATTTTTATTTTCTTTTGGGGGTCAGATTGCGAGGATGAAGGGTAGACACAAAGGGGCGGGAGATGAATGGGATTGGGATGCATGATGGGAAATCCACAAAGAATCAACACAAAGCTTTTTAAAAAGACAAATTTAACACTAACAAGGCATTGTTGTCTGGTGTCCATTAACTGTCTAACAATCGAAAGCTCCCTATTGTAAAGGCGGTAATCCCCTTAATACCATTCTATCTTTGCTTTTCCCCCAGAGAATCCACACACGGGGCATTCATTCAGTTTGTGTGACTTGTTACCCCCCATAGCCTGGAGCTCCTCCTTGGTTCTATACAGGATACTGATGTTTGAAGCCAGCGCATTTGTCCGTCAGAAACCCATCAATGTGGATTTGTCTGTTTCCTCACACGAATGACGCTAACCTATTTTTAGTAAGACTGTCACATAGGCCAAGGTCGGGGACTTGTGTGTTTTCAACCTGGCTAGTTCTTAACACTAATAAAGTATCTGACAGAACCAACTTAAGGGAGGAAGTTTAGCCCATCATGAAGAGAGGCATGGTGGAGTAGCTTCTTGGTGGCCAGAATGCTTCTCAGAGGCTTCCTGGGTCTCCATAAATTAAGAAGCAAAAAGCTCAGACAATAACCAGAAATTTGCAGCAGTTTCAAGGCCACCCTCAGTGACTACTTTTAACTAGGCTGCTAAGTCCCAAAGACTCCACACACCCTGCGTCACTGTCTGGAGACCAAGCATTCAAATACATGAGCCTGTGGGAAATGGTTCAGAATCAAGCAATGATAGCCTTCCGATATTTCTCTCAGGAGACCTAATTGGTTTCTGTCGCTGTGATATGAACACCATGACCAAAAAAGCAGCTTGGGGAGGAAAGGGTTTATTTTATCTCACAGTTTATAGTCTGTTATGGAGGGAAATGAAGGCAGGAACTCAAGGCAGGAACCCAGAGGCAGGAACTGAAGCAGAGGCCATGGAAGAATGCTGCAGAATGGTTTATTCTCATGACTCAGTCGGCTCACTTTCTTCTATTACCCGAGCCCACCTGTTCAGGGCATCATGATCAATCTCCCATATCCCAGCCTCCCATACCAATCATTAATCAAGAAAATATCCCACAGATATGCGCAGGGCCAATCTGAGGATGGCAATTACTTCAGTTGACATTCTCTCTTAGCAGGTGAATCTAGTTCCAGTCAAAGTGACACAAACTAACCAGAGCTCCAGCCAAGGCTATTATACTCCCAGCAGCACTAACTGTAGCAATTTTGGCAGTAACTGTAGCAATTATGGTTCTCAGTGCTGTGACCAAATACCAAGGAAAGCAACATAAGGGGGTGAAGGCTTTATTTTGGTTCCTGGTGTGAGAGCATATAGTCCATTATGGCAAGGAAAGTGGGGAGGCAGCTCTGTGCCATGGAGACCTGATGCTGCCTCATGAAACCTCAGAAGACCAAGAGTCAGAGAAAGGAGCATGCGGATGACTCAGCTGGTTTCCCTCTTTAGTCATAGGGACTTGAGCCTAAGGAATCATCTCCACCCTTAGATAATTCTCTTTTGACTTTTAAATTTATTTATTTATTTATTTTATTCAGTGGTTTGTGTGTGTGTGTGTGTGTGTGTGTGTGTGTGCATGTGTTTGTGTGTGTGTATTGGGTACCATGGCACATGTGTGGAGGTCAAAGAACAACCTGGAGTCGGTTGTCTCCTTTCACCATCCTAGGGATTGAACTCAGGTCATCGGGGCTTGGCTGCAAGCTCTGTAAGGAGTAGAGGAAGCCCTTAATGAACAAAGTCCTCAGACCCATGAGAAAACCGGCAAAGCCTCCCCTGCCCTAGGAGGTAAGTCTCAGAGGGAAATAACAAAGCCTTGCTCTGGTCCATGACATAACTGGGAAGAGGGAATCTCAGCTGTGGAATTGCCTCCATCAGACTGGCCTGTGAGAAAGCCTGTGGGAGCATTTTCATGATGAATGCTTAATGTGGGAGGCCCCGTAGCCCACTGTGGGGGTGTCATCCCTGTGCAAGTGGTCCTGATTTGTATAAGGAAGCAGGCTGAGCAAGCCATGGTGAGCAAACAAGTTAGCAGCATTCCTTCATGGTCTCCACTTCAGTTCCTGTCTCTAGGTTCCTGCTTTGAGCTTGGGCTTCCCTCAATAAAGGATTGCAACTTGTAAATCAAATAAATCCTTTCCTTCTCAAGTTACTTTTGGCCAGTGTTTCATCCCAGCAACAGAAAAACAAACTCTGTAATATATATGTACCAAACTGTGTTACGCTAGCATATATAATGAATCCAGATACAATAGTAGTGGAAGTGTTAATACCCTACTTTCGTCAATGCACAGATCATTCAGGGGAAAGAAACCAACCAAGGAAACTCCAGGTCTAGCCTGACAAGAGCTCTCAGTGCAAGCTCCATCAAATTCCAGAGGCAGTCATCACCAAAATAGAAAACAAAAGCCAGAACTTCAAGCCAACAGAGACCTTCTGTCAGGGCCAGAAGGACTTCACAGTATATTAAGTTGTGAGACTGACAATGTGGAAGTTCTTAACACTCTTGAAAAGACCAAGCATTCTAGAAAATTCTATTGACAGTGGAAGAGGCTAGTTAGCTGACATAATTTGGGATTGTAACTGTCCCAACCCATAATGATAAAGGCCTGGTCCCCGGCCTGTGTCTTATTGAGAAGAGATAGAAGCTTAAGAAGGCGGTGGACACAGCTAAACACTAGGCAGAGCCAGGGGAACCCCCTCAGAAGAAGGGGATGAAGGATTCTAAGAGCCTAAGAGCCAGAGGGAGGTCAAGCGCAACACAGGAACATGGTCCATGAAATCAACTGAGCAAGGCTCACAGAGGCTCACAAAGACTAAAGCAACAACCACAGACCCTGTACGGATTTAAGCTAGGTCCTCTGCACACACCCTATGGTTGAACAACTTAGTATTCTCTCCGAACTCCTAACAGTGGGGTGGGGGGATGCCTCTGACTCTTTTGCCAGCCTTTGGAGCCCATTTCCTACTACTGGGTAGCTTCATCCAGCCTTGCTAGGAGGGTTTGTGCCCAGTCTTATTGTAACTTGTTAGGTCATGTGAGGTGAATTCCCTTGGGAGGCCTGCTCTTTTTGTTCTTTTTGGGGGGGATGGGGAGGAGATTTGGGAGGAGAGGGAGGAACTGGGGAGAATGGAGGGAGGGGAAACGGCAGCTGGATTGCAATATAAAGAGAAGAATACAAAAAGAAAGAATAAGGAAGCTTATTTTCAGGCATACACTGACAGGAGCAGTTATGTGGCTGAAACTCGGAGGGAGGGAGGGAG